TTCACACTACCCTTTGTTGTCTATAAATAGAGGGATTTCTTCTCATTTTAAAACAACGAAAATTCTGAACCTCCTCTTCTTCTTCTTCACAATTAAATATTTGTGTGCTTTGATCCTGTTGAGTGGCTCACTGATAACATTACTTATGTTACAAATCCTGGTATGTATTTTTACAATCATTAATTTATGCTTATGTTATTAAGGATAAATGATAAGATGTAATAACTTTCATTTTCCTTTACATTATTAATGTTTGTTACTACATAATCTTGTATGTAAAATAATATAGTGTTTTAGTTTTAATGACTGATAGATTTTAAGTATTATTTTATAAATTCCGAGAAATTAAATTTCCACACAAAGCGCGGGTAATTTTACTAGTTTAGTCTAAATATACAAAACCTATTATACAGTATATGTAAATTATAGTTAAATATACAAAAATTATACATTTGTTAGCTATTTCGTAAACTAGATACCTAAAGGTGTTGGATGGTAATTATCCTATTTGATCATGCATATGGAGATTTTACCAAACTCAATCTCTACATAAACCCACAAGTTTATGCACCAACGGGTGTGACCTAGTGGTCAATGAAGCGGTTGAGAGCCCTGAGGTCTCAGGTTCAAAACTTAGGTACATGTTGCTAGTAGGAGGTAGTGCGTGAAAGTTGGACCAGACACCACGGTCATCAACAAATAAACCCACAACTTTATTACAATATATACTAGGGAGAAACATGCATTTCAGTTGAAATGTTATTTGTTGTTTGAGTTTCAAGATGTTAAATGCTATACAAAACCTATATACCCTTTCTTAGAGCAATTAATAGCACAATAAAAATAGGAAAAAGAAGAAATATAATGTAAGGAATTGCTTGTTGGATTGCACCTTCTTCTGTTTCATCCTTGGAATAGTTTACTTTATCCCTAATAAAAGCGTCGAAATAATTTTGATAGCCAGTATTCATAGAAGAGAATGTTGAGCCAGTTACCTTCATCATTTCCATGGCCTACCATTAACCAAAACAACATTTGAGTACTCAGTAGTAACAAGATGACCTGATTTTGCTCAGCATAAGTTTACATAAGTTTCTTCTTATCCGCATAAGTTACGTAGTATCTAATTCTAGTGTTATAATATAAACCATTCAACCCCTAGACATAAGGGAAGATTGTAGTGTAGTGTGGTAAACAACCAGTGGCGGATCCAGGATTTAGAGTCCGTGGGTGCCAAATAAAAGAAAAGTCAAAGGAGTAATAATGTAATTAATTTAATTTAAGTCAATAACAATTACAAAAATAAAGTAAAATAATGTGCTAGCTGTTTTTCCTTAAAAAAAGGTGCTTGGAGCCCTTTTTTCCCTTAAAAAACGTCTACAACAAATTTCTCAAAAAAATAGGTACAAATGGGATTCAAACCCACAACATCAGCCTTCTAAAGTTGCCCTCTTACCGTGACACCACAAGCCAGTTTTGTTCTCTAGGTGGCACACTTTATATTTATATAAATATTATATATATATATATATATACCTATGTA